CCCACGCACCACTGCTGTTTGTCAGGGCTTGCTCCCTCACACATCCCAAACCCTGAGCCCAGGGTCCCAGTCCTGAGCCTGGCTTCAGGGAAAGGTGTGTACTTGGCCTCTGGAGGAGGCAGTGTGGGCAAGCAGAACATGGTCTGCCGCTCATTTGGAGCAATCACAGGATATATACTGCACCTAAATCTATCCAAAACTCCCTAGAGAGCTCTGGGGTCCAAACCAGCTCTTTAGGACTGGCTTTGTTTCAGATCTTTTATTGGGAAGAAAACTGATGGAAATAAACCTTCTTTGACTGCACAGATAATGCTGAAAATAAGAAAAGACTTTATAAATCTAGTTTTGAATATTATTGTTACCATTTTATTTCCATGTGTTATTAAACAGCTGTCATATTTCCTTTGTTTGGCTACGCTGTGAATAGTGTCTTGCTTTTTGCAGAGGTGCTGTCTGCAGAGCTATACTGTTCTCAGGTTAGAACTGAAATTCCACATGAGCTTCAGGATGTATTTATTATTAATACAGAGAATCCAGTAATGTTGTGTGCTTGCTGAATTAAAGGCAAAATCAAAGGCACTTTAGCTGTCAAGACCTTAGTTCAGAGCTCTCAGTTTATCCTGCAGAGGACGACAATGTGTCATGGATTTCTGAAATGGAGCAGGCAGCTACCTTCATTACCAGTCTGGCAACTTTATAGCTGTGCTCAGTGGCAAATCTAGTGCTGGTTCAAACCCCATCTGGTGTTTCTCATGGTAGGCCTGTTCTACACTGCTCCATCACTGAACACTATCTAGGAAAATATATCTGTATTTCCAATCACTCCTACTTTGAGTGTCCATAAGACACCACAGGAGGTATCCTCTTCCTCAGGGGCCAAGAGATGGAGTTCCTGGCCCACTAAGGAGGTGGGAGAGTCTCAAAGCTACTGGAAACACCCAGCAAGAATGCATCAGCAAAAGGGGCCAAGCAGTCAAGCTGGCACATCTGTGTTAGGAAGGGCCTGTGGTAGGATTGGCACCTCAGCTGTTCTCTCTCAGCCAAGTGCATTAGCAGCTGTCCTGCATCTCTTCATTCCCTTGCCCTGAACCTCTGCAGCTAATCTATGTCCAGCACCAAAGTGTTCTGAATACACCCAGTGTTGTGTTCAAACAGCCTGCATCCCTCCTTCATCCTTATGCCAAGCATTTTCTGTCAGCTGGTTCCAGGCTCCAGAAATGCTCGCAGGAAGTGCTGGACAAAGGGATGGTTTGGGTGCAACATGCTGTGCCTGTGCTGATGGAATGGCTGAACGACTGTGGATGGTGCACATCCTGTAGCAGACCTGAGTTTGAATCCAGACCCATATGTGACCTTAAAGGTGACATTTTCTCCCCAGTCCCCATTATTATTGTCCATCTTATTTTACTAGCTTCAGTCAGGATTTACAAAAGGACTTTTCAGGGAAGGCTTCCTTCCAACTCTGCATGCATAATCTTCTGCATTATTGTTCATTTGATCTACACTTATGCTATATATCATCACAGAAGAATGGGTAATTAAAACCACAATTAATTTCTTGCTAATTAAATGTTTTCTGAGTAATTCACAAACCTGGATGACTACCAAGTAGGCAAATATTTAGAACTGTTAACCAGCATCTAAAGCATCAGAAATAACCATCTGGATTTACAAAACTTCTGGTCCATCTGTGTAACACAGTAAACATCACTGACTTCAGCCAGGAAGGGCATGAAGGCCTGTTCCTTAGGAGGAAATGTTATGTGTTTAGGAGATACTCTCAGGGCTTTTCTCTGATTACTTCTGTTGGGGGGTGGAATTCTACTCTAAATCTGCTTTTGAGGAGCTGCATGTGATGCTTAGCCAATGCCCTCCCTGCACCACTGCCAGCAGGAGGCAAAGGAGGGAATGTAATAACACCTCAGTCTTCCTCCTGAGAGGGCATCTTAGGGGCTGGGAAAAAATGAAGCAAGGTGTGGATGCTCACCATCTGGAGACTAGGCTCCAGGCTTGCAGAAGGGCTTGGATTCCTTCCTTGGCTTTTTTTTTTTTTTTTTTTTTTTTTTTTTTTTTTGGTGTGTGGTTTCAGCATGGCTGAATCAAAGTGGAGCAATGTCAGGAGTGTGGGAAATTTGGAAATTAACTGCTGAGCCTGGAAGAAGCAAGCCAAGAGCTGTCAAAAAGTAGGGAGAGCCTGCCTGGACTGTCTCCAAAGAGATTTGAGACTAGGAGCACCAAAGTCATCTCAGTACATCACTGGAATGAACTTGCAGCATGGCAGCATGCCCGGGTTAGAGATGGCATCAGGACTCTGTTACAATCCATCTGCAATAAATGGAATGTTTAGTCTAAGGCAAGAACATGATGCATCCTTCTCCAGAAGGAATCATTGTCCTTCACCCAGAGATCTATGCTACACTGTGGATGCTGTAAAAAGCTCCAGTATATCTAAGCAGGGTTTTCCGTGGGGCAGTAGAGGCAAATGCCACAAGCCTGGTCCCAGTTATGTCGTTTCTGCAAGAAAGACATTTATAGGTGATAGCTGATGTTTTTACTTGTCTTATTTCCTCTGAAACTAAGAGAAATATTACGTCTTGTTTGGTGATTTTTGTAGCAAACATTTTCTGTTACCTCTGCATTTCATTTTGCCTACAAGGACAAGATCTTTTTTCATCCTTTGCCAAAAGCAAGAAAGGAGAAAATACTTCTCTGCCTCCTTAGCCTTTCTCTCATCTTGATCACTCAAGCCTTTGTTATCTTGCCAGACAACTGTTACCTGCCCTAGTGCCACTCGTCTCACAAGCTGTAGAGGATGGCACAGCCTCCTGGGGAAGCCAGCAGCTGAAGTTTTGGGTATTGTTTGGATGGAAAATCCCCCACCTGTGTCTGTGTGTTAGACCTCGGCAGGGTACAGTCAGTGGAGAAGCAGCCTGTTTGAAATCCTCTTTCATTTTGCTTATGGTAAGCAAATGAGCCATTCAAAGAGAATGTGATATTAGGAAATTATCCTCTGCTGCATGCCAGCTTCAAATAGACCTCAAACAGCACTGATAAAATCAGGATATCTTTTTTGCAGTTTCAAAATAAGCTACTGAATTTTACTTTATCCTCTAGGTGATGTGAAATTTCAGTCATACTACAGTGCTTGGAATCCAATATTTGGCTCTTTCACATCACTTATTGCCTCACTGAATCCCACATGCCAGGTTTTTAAAAGGTTTGCTTTTAAGCCTTCCAAGGACAAATATGTCTTTAGCAACATTTAATGACCCAAAATATCCCAGAGAGAAAACACTGGATGTGCTGTTGGCTCCAGTAGCTGCACTGCTTCCCACAGGATGTTAAACCCCAGGAACTTACAGTGGGTGAGATGGGGACAAGCTTTCATAAATTCTCCTTTCTGTAGTTGTGACTTTGTGGCTTGCTTTGTTTCTTTCCTTTTGTTTTTGTTCCTCAAGTGGCTGCAGCCTTTGTTATTCAAGCATTTTTCAGGGATTTGGGATTATTTTGAGATTTGGCCAGGAGGTCTGAGTAGAGAGCCTTAAGGACAAATTCTAATTGCCCAGCCTCACTGGAATCCCAGATTTAGGGAGGTAAAGCCAGTGGCCTGTCAGTGGAGTATTTAAGGAAATCCCTCAAAAGCCAGGGAAAGAGAGAGCCAGTGGTAGGAAGAGGAGCTGTGGGCAGAGTTACAGTGCCTTTTTTCTCTTCTGCCATACAGGGGACTTACCTGCCAAGTTTGTGTGTTTTTTAACGACAGGTAACAGAGATGTGATACAGAATGTAATGTGGAAAAACAGGCGCTGGCTGAAGGAGGAGGAATAGCTGTTTGGGGTAGGAACATCACCTCTCTGCTCCCCATTCACAGAGGTGTGATCTTTCCAGACTCCAGTTTTCACAAGCAGGACCAGGCTGGGGAATGCAAACCCAATTATCAGATGATCTAAGTCAGTATTTAGACACAAAAATTCTTTAAAATGTCATAAGGAGGGTTGGAGAGGAAATTTGTTTTTTTCTTTTGCAATTTTTAACTCCAATCCTACACGAACAACAGCGCACCCAACTAAAATGCTTCTTTTTCTGTATTAAAATGTTTTTCAGAGGTAGGCAAGAATTGTTTGCCTTTCTTCAAAGAGTGCAGCATAGTCAGCTAAAAACACAGTGTTAGCCAAAATGTCCCAGCAGGCAACAAAATGTAGCACAGAACATAGCTGGGCAGTTTCTCAGCTGAATAGCTGGACAAGACCTCTGAAATACTCACAGCAAAGGAGCAAATGACATTGAAATAGCATGTTCAACAGCATTCAGTTAAAATTTAACCTTCTAAAAGATGTATTGAAATCGCCAGCTTGGAATGTGGCTCACCTAATTTTACATTCTGAAACACTTGTCCCACACTCAGTGCTGGGAATAGGTCTGCTGCTGAGACCAACTCTGTCACTTCTCCATCCACTTTATTGGCCACTGTTCAAATTTTATTTCTTTAGTTAAATTTTATGGTTAAACATTATGTATGGGCACACCTCATTTGATCTGTTATAGCTATGGAGTTTAGCCAATTTATGGCAAAATAACCCACTCCTGTCATGGAAGGGATGGGATTCACTGAATTAATATAAATTCCTTGAGGCAGCAGCTACATCTGAGTAGCACTAAGGGGAACCAATCCTGTTATAGTAAGATAGTTCAGAATAGTACAAGTTTTGCCCTTTTTAGCATGGTAAAATCCACATACGATGCATCTTAAGGTGAATGGAATCTCTTTGGTGGATAGATGATGGAAATTATTGATGTATCTGCCTAATGTGCTGTTCTCTTGGCAGGCAGCCTAGTCTTCAGAGGATAACTGAGAGCTATCATATGCTGTTAGTGTGCTTTGCAAGGGTTCTCAAATCACATAAAAACAGACCACCTCTTGCTCTGCAAGATGTATGTAATGGCATTGATCTCAGAGGATGGTGCTCACACCCAGCCAGGAGACAACTGGGCCCTAAACCCACTGCATGGTGAAGTAAGATCCTGTTCCAGGAGGTGTATTTCATGAGTGCAGAGTACCAGGACTGGCAGAAGGTGCTTTTCACTCTCAGGTACATAAGTTTCTGTGCCTATCCTTTAAATACAAAATAAGCGTTCTTACACTCCTCTCAAGTGATGAATTTCTGCCACTAAAACCCATGTGAGGCAATGAGGGCTAACCAGATACTGTATTTTCAAAGCATTTAGTATCTTTGCTCTGTGCTTTCCAGCCAACCCAAAGCTTTGGACTCCCCTCTTTGCTTTTTTTTTGCCAGGTTTTATGGGGATATATAAAGTGTGAATGGCATGCCAAGAGTTAGCAACTGCTTCACATAGATGTAGCATTTGGATACACTCTGGAGGAGCAAGACTATCAGAATGAACCTTTAAAGAACAAAAGCTACAGGGTGGACAAACTTCCACATATCTTTACCAATACTCAGGTGCTCAAAGGATATTCTCCTGCCCACATGCCGAGTGCACAGGCAGCAGGGACTTCCAGAACTTGATGCCTAACCTCCCTTCTCTGGGTCTTGAAAACATGAAAGGCATTAAGAGTGAGTTCATTCAATCTCAGTCAATAACATAAGTTTGTAACACTCATGTGTAACACTCCTCTCTGTGTGTGCATTTGTGTTCTGGGATATTTTGGGAGGATGCCTGTACTTTGCTTTCTTTGCCTTCATACGTGACTAGAGTACGTAGATTATGACTGCTGACTCTTGACTGCATCAGCCCCTGTAGCCACATTTTCATTATATCTGCATACTGTATTTGGACTTGTTTTCATTTGTAATAGTGTGGATGTTTCTTCTTCCATGGTCTCTATCTCCCTAACCATCCTCCCTCCTACTGTCTGCTGAGCTGGGGCTTGCAGTGCCTTTTGCAGCTCCTGCTTGGTGCAACACATAGTTCTTCTGTGGACACTTTGTTTGCATCCTTCCATTTTCACAAAAATTTTTCAGTCCAGTCCTTTCAATTCAATCAGTGGTCATATGCTCACAATTACCAAAAGACATCCATTCTCATGTGGCTAATGCCACTTGTGACTAGTTGAAATGGTATGATTAGCATTTTTCTCTGCCAAACCTTATATTTCTGAAAAATTCACCACATTATTATCCATTTCTCCTCTGTCATTAATCACAGTGTTCTATTTCATGTGATCAGCCTACTGCATATGGGCATCAATGACAGAACTACTTTCACTTCGAGCAGTGTGATTTGTGTAAACTTCAAGAGTATTCCTGATGTTCCTGAAAGCTCTCTTGTACAGCTGGAATTTATGAAGGGGGGTATGTTGATGCTTTCTTTTTTCTTTTGCTAAGCTTGGTGTTGCTGTAATGCCAATCTCCTTCTCGTCCTGTCCCTCTTCAGACATTTCCCATGGGTGTAGGTAATGAAGCTCTCTTTATGATACACACAGCTTCACTGACCGTGTGATGGAGGTGGAGCACATGCTCTGGAAAGGGCACCTTACTGGTGTTGAGTCAAGTCTGCCACACAGGAACTGGTTCTTGTTTCTCCATTGTTTCCCTGATTCTTCTTTTCCCATCTTATTTTCCAAGTATTTTCTGTGGGTTTTTTTGCTTTTAAGTTACACCTGTAATCATGGCATACTGACTGTTCATATACCAAGCCTAGTATACCCTTTCAACTTTAGCAGATATCCTTCCTGCCTGCCTTTTCTCTCTTTTTTCCCCTAGCTGCAATACTCCTTGGCTGAGTCACTGTCCTAGTGCTGAATCTAAGAAAACTGAAGTGGCCAGTGAGTCCTCCTGAGAAGGACAGGTTTTCATTAAGCACTCCAGTCTGACTGAAGTTCCTAAAAGCAGTACTGGTAAGGTTTTTTACCTTTTTTGAAGGACTCTAGAAACCATCACAGCCCTCTTCAAAATGTATTTTCTCCCTATTTATGCAGGCTTTGAAGGCTACTGCCTATGCTTTTACATTTTAACTTGGAAATCACAGAAAAAAATGAAATGCTCAAGGCGTTCTAGATTTAGATGAGTTCAAGTAAGCACTTAAAAATAATTCTTGGATTCTGCACTTCATCCCACTATCACTGATTTTGTGCTAGAAGTTCTCTTGAAGAGGGCACAAATTTTGTTTAAAGACAAAATGCAGATAAGAGAACAAGCCAGATAAGGGCTGCAGCAGGTGTTCTTGTTTGGTTTGGTTTCTCCCAGGTAGAAATCAATATTTCTTTAACAGATATTTGCCTTTCAATGCTGCTTTTTCCTCATCTCATCCCCAGCCACTTCTGTACCTATGCCATCTTACCGAGGCTTTGATTCAGCTCACACTGCTGAGAGTAGATGTTGAGAGCATGGCCTTGTGTGCTGCCTTTTTAGTGCTGAAATTTTTGAGCAATCATTCACTGTGTCTGTAAGAAAAGTGCCAAAGCCTTCAATGGAGGGAAAGCAAAGCATCTAAGATGCAACAAGCAGTTATATGAAGGTGAAACGTTGAAGGACTTTCACCTTAAACTTGGCCTTAGTTCAGTTTGTTCCAGGAAAGTGGTGCTTTTAGGGTTGTTTTGACATTTTTTTGTCATCAAGTGAAAAGATGTCACATAAGGTGTCTCAGTAAAATTACACATCTTTTACTCCTGTATTGCCATTATTCATTTATATAAATTATGCTGTTGTCTGTTTTTTCCTGCTTATCCCATGAAAATTTTTTAAAATGTACCTTTTATGAAGTTTTTTACTGGCCTATTAATATCCTTGCTTCTATTCTGCTCGGCCTTTCTCCTACTTTACAGACAGCAAACCCTCCACCTCAACTCCCAGTAAACTAGTTCATTAACTTGGTGTAGCATTTTGTTCATTTAGTCTATATTGTGCCACCTGTCATGGCAGCTTATCTCAGTTTGGAGGTTCAATCCCATGGGTGGGTTTAGTGTGAGATGCTTTGAGAGTTGTTTTAAAGTTGTTTGGGGAATTCACAGCATCATTTTCTCAACAGGCTCCAGTGCTGTCTCTGAGCTCAGCAAGAGTACGCTACTCACTTTCTCTGGGGGGAGGGAACTCAGAAAATACTTATTCTGCAAATTATAGTTAATGTTCTAGTATAAAAGTAAAATGATAGCTAATATATCGTGTACACATTAAATTTTAAGGGATGTATTCTCCATTCATTTCATGTGTGATTACTCCTCTTTGACATTAATTGGAATTCTGTGTAAAGACTGAAGAGAGACCATCAGTGGTAATGTAAATTGAAACAAGTCTCTGATAAAATACAGCTTTTAAAGAAAGAGTCATTCAAGTAACAGTGCTGCAGTATTCAGCTGTTCTGTGTCACTAACAACTAAAGGATCCTCCGGACTGTTAATAATTCTGTAGCAGGATGATATCATCTACTGCTGCTACATCAAGGTGTTAAATAAATATTATGAGGTAAGAGTTTTCTGTAGCACATAGTTGAAATTGTCTGCATAAAATGGGCTGAGCTCTGTTACAGACTCACAGCTCACCACAGTGAACTGAGAAGGGATAGCTTCAGTGTAGTTTACAGCATCTATAAAAAGTGACTGGAAAATTGATAAGAAAGATGTTAGTTTCCTGACTTGTACATCTTAGTCAGCTGAGCTGGAGACAAATCACAAGAACAGCAAGGTCTGACTGCTTCCTCATGCAGCTGACAGGAGAAAATCCCTCTTTGTGCTGCCAGAGAGCTCGGTGCTGTGTCGCTGCAGCTCGGCCGGGGAAGGCGGAGGGGATCGGGGAGCGCGGCTCTGTCCCTGCCGCGTCCGGGGCTCCCGGACCTGCTCCCGGCACAGCCGCGGCACGGAATGAAGCCTCCCGCACGGTAAGGCTTTCCCAGATCTACCTTTTGGGGGAAAAAAACCCATTTATAGTGTATTCTACTCTCTCCATCTAAGTCCTTCCTTTGCAATGGCGCCTATAGCAGTTATTGTCTTTAAGGAGTTTTCCTGAGCAGGATCACTGCCCTGATTCCATTTACCATGCAGACACACCAGAGAGAAGAGCATGGAGTTAAGAAGGGCACGGGGGATGCATAAGTTGACATTACTGCTGACAGGAATACTCATTATTTCCAGCTTTGATTAACTTTGCTCCTTAAAAGCACTCCTCCCAAACTCACTGCTTCTGTAGGACCTTGAGTGCCAGCGGTCCTTAGATACAAAGTGCACACAGTGTAAAGACAGCCACAGACACCTTCAAAGACAAAAATACGGCACCTGGCACTTCTGCTATGCTCTTCTGTTCTATTTGAGTTTAATTCTCTCAGTGGTAAGTCTTCAGTTTCTTTCTGCCTGATGAAATCCACCCATCAAAGTTAACTCCAGTTTACTAAGGACACACATACGCAGGCCAGGATTTATTTGGACTAAACATTTATTTCCATTTTAAATGGAGTTAATTGCCAATTATCCTGACCTAATTAATGGTAGTGAATGCAAATTTGCACCCTCCCAAAAATTTATTCCAGGAAACAAACAGTTCTTTCCAGTCTCTGCTTGTTCTATGACCAGCAAGGATGAGGCACAGGCATTTGTGTCTCAAAAGAAATGATTGCAAAGGGGGTAGATTTGCTTTTGTCAGTTTCATGTTAATTGATAACCAATTAAATAAATGTAAAAGGCAACCAAATCATCTGGCCTAGGCATGGTTTTCACTGAAAGAAGAGAAGCATGTTTGAAACAGAATGTTTGCACATGCTGGAAAGCCTCAGTCAAATAACAGTGTGAGGAGGTGGTGGGACAGGAGGGAGGGTCTGTGGTGTGCTGTACTTTGAAGTGTTTACTTCAATCAGATTTGGAATTACTTTGACTAAGATGACTTTTTTTTTTTGCAGTAAAGAAGTAAGAAATTAATATTTTCAGGGTTCATTTTAAAAAAGAAAAAAAAAAAAAGGAAACCTACTTCCGCTATTAGAATATAGTGTGGTTTGAGGTTTTTACAATACAATTTAATCAGATTGCTGTAGCATTTCATACCTCAGTAAGGCTATGATGAAGAGCTATGCTTTCCAGTCTAAAATAAACAAACTCTATTTTTAGTTGTTTCGGAATAGCACTGAAAGGCAGAAGCAGAGGGAATAAAATGTTTCTGCTGTTTTGCAGGTGAGCATAGCTAATAGACCCATATGTGAAGAGATTTATTTTTATTTTCAAATTGTAATGATTTCCAATTGATCAAGTTAATTGTCTTAACTATATGAAAATGTGGGGAGGAGAAGAGAAGGGTTTCTTTGCAGCAGGACCATGAGATTCAGCCACAGTATTGCTGATCAGAGGAAATAAATCTGGGGCAGGTAAACAGACTCCCTGATAAGAAAGAAAAACAATCTGTATTGCTCTGTGGACTCTGAAGATGAATGCAAAGGAAAAGATGGGGGAATATTTTCTGGGTTTTTGTCTGAGTTGAGAGGAGAGCAGCTATGGCTCCGTACACCTTTTTCTCCACTTTCAATTCACACATTACTTTCTTCCTCCCAAAATGTCATCTTATTTCCATTTGTTTGTTTCCTCCTTAGCCATGCTTCAAAAATTCTGTGAGTAGCCTCATACCATAAATTATGTCACTGAATTGACCAAATTTACCACACGGATTCCATCAGAATATTTAAGTTTCTGAGAAAAATCATAGAAAGCTTGTGAAGGGCGATGTATGTATGTTATATGTTAAATTACAAACCCTCAGCACATAAATCTTAGAGTTCTGGGAAATTATGTGTTTAAGCCCTGGAATGTCCCCTGGAGAGGCAGAGAGAGCCTCACTGCCAGGACATGTGCCAGAGCCCTCCAAAATCCAGCCCAGGCACTGCAGGCTGAAAGTGAGAGCATGACAGTGAAAGTTATTTAAGATGTAAACCCACACCTATTCCAAAAGCTAGAGTTTGGAAGTCTTACACTGAATACAACTGAGTCTATGAAAAAAAAAAAAATACTGGAGCCACAGATTTTTCATCATAAAGGCCTCAAATTCTACCAATGCATTGCTGAAGTTTAATATATTGACATTTGATGTGAAAGCTTATACAGTGCTTAAAAGACTGTAGGCTATGGAATAGTACATTAAATGAACACCTTTACACGTGTTGTGCTAGAACTTAATTCTTTCTGAGGATGCTGTTTTTTAGAATGGATGTTTATATTTTAAAAGCTTACAGTGAAAAATAATACTTTTGACAACCCTATTGCTCAACATTCACTGAAAAACTCCTAATATGTCTCTCTGAGGGCTCTTATGCCTGTGCTTTGTCTTGGAATACATTGCTGCTTTGTCAGCACCCTAATACCCATGAAAAACCCTCAGTATTTGAAGCTGCAAGAGTGCAAATTGCGTATTTTTAAATACTTGCTGAAACTCAGGTCCTTGTTTTGGCCTTCCTGTGGCATTATTCTTTTTTAATTATAATTCCTGGTGGTTTTACATGCTGCCTCTGTATTTTAAGACTTGTGAAAATGATGTAACATTGTGCATTACTCCTTTCTTAGCCAGTATAAAGAATTGGGCAAGTACAAAAGTACTTGATGTGGTTTTGGTTTTTGTTTTGTTTTGTTTTTCTGAATGTATTTCTGGGAGATTGGGAGTGCAAAGAAGCTTGGGTATTTTCAGGTGAAATGTAGCTTCATCTGAATTTGGATTCCCCCTTCTTGGTAGATTGTATTCTCATAAGGTGATTCAGAAAGGGTACTCTGGGGTATGCATGCTCTGAGTGTGCATATTTGTCTTCCTTCTCTGCTATTTGTATAGCTTCTTTCAAATTTTTGCCAGGATGACAGTGTTTGCATATGGCCTACTTTGGTTATTATTAGATTCTTCCTGTTCCCCATAATTGACTCTTTTCCGGGATGCCGTGTAAGATGCCTGTGGTCTTTTATATTTGTTATTGAAATATTTGATCTCTTCCATTAGTTTGTCTGCGTGCCCTGTTCTGCTCTAGAGCAATAACCTCGAATGTTTTCAAACCCTGTAGATTCTGTAAATCTGCTGAAAGACCTGTAGTACCTAGTGAGGAGCTAACTGGGAACTGTCACCTGTGCACAATGGTGCTAAAGTCAAAAGTCAGCACATTGCAAAGGGCTAAGGCCTCCCTGCCACGAGGTACTGATGGGACAAGATCACACTCTGCAGTTATTTTGTCAACTGGGACAATTGATGAGGCATCAATGTTTTGACCATGTTGTCAGCTGAGTATTTTCTTCTAATGTAGTTATGATCTTATTATCAGCCAAAATCTGCTATATCCTTGCCGTGTTTTAAGATCTCTTTTGAACATTATTTTGTACTATTAAGTAAATTTCTTCCTCAGCCACCATCCAGACCTTTGGACCAAAGTAAAATGTGAGAAATTTAACATTTACAGAAGTGATTGAAGAATTGGGATGGGAATCTAACATCAGCACTGTTTGAACATGGAGGTATTTTTGGAATTTGGGGAAAAGGTGGGTGGTGGAGAAGAGAGGAAGAATCCAGGTTATTGATTTCCTTATTATGAGCAGGTCATGTCAGACACTAAAATCAATAAGCTGTTCACTCTCATTTCTGCATGATTGGCACATACTGTGAGTTGTCATGGTGTATATTTGTATTTAAACAGCTGTGTACATGACCTTACATAAGGTCAGAGCCAGTGAATTAAAGAGTGTTGCAAGTGAAATTTCAATGGGATACCTGCTAGCTAGCGAAATTATACTCTCACATGACTAAGCAATTTAGGGTAAGTATTGTAGCCAAGAATCAAAATTCTTCACACTGTAAAAATATTTCTCTGAGTCCATTCAAACATCTAACTATTTGACTGGATCATAGCCAGAAGCTAACTGAATAAACCTGTGCTTGTGTAGGCTGAGAGCAATGAAAAAGCTATTGCTAGAATGTGTCATTTTGAGTACATATCTAATCCTACTCTTTAAATACAGATTGTTGGACTCTGCCTCTTAATTTTTAACCAAAGTCATGGAACAGAATTCAACAACTGGGAGGCAAAAGCATAAAACACAACATGTATTCTGGAATGCATTTTATGGAGGAAAAATAGCCCCAAACAACAAACCAAAGAGCTTCACCTCTTTAGCAGGCTCATGTTCATTCACTACTTTATGAATGACTAACGATGTCTATGGATGTTGTACCCTTCCTTCCTCTGCTGGACATCAAATAGACATTGTATTCACACGGAAATGAAGCTTTACAAATTCTAGTGTATCAGTCAGGTGCCAGATATTTTTGTGCTTGACAAGGCAATATTTCATTGTGGTGTGGATTTTTTCTCTCTTTTCTTTTTTTCTTTTTAATTGCTCATTAAAAAATTTTGAAAACAAGAACAGGAGGGGTACTAACAGTATGCAAATAGGAATTGTCTTACTAATCTGAAAAACTGAATACAGCACCAAAAATATCTGAGCTACCTCTTTCAAATTTACTAGTAATATCCTGCTCAGGAATGGTACAGGTGGTGAAGCACCAGTTTAATCTCAGACATTAGAATTAAAACCTGCTTCAGTTCAGCTAATGGCATTTAAATGTTGCTGTTCCTAGGCTAATAAATCCTGTGTCCTCTGGCTCTTATGATGAGGGGTAAGACTTAAGTCTATTATTTTCATTAGGACTTGAATACATATCGAAATTGTCAACGTGCTTAGGTCAGTATTAATCCCAAAACTCAAAACTTTGCTCAATAAAACCAAATGCTCTGCAATAATTCTACAAATTTTGGTTTAAAGAGTTTTTTACAAGAGAATTTATTTTGGATCCTTAAGAAGTGTGGAACAATGCAGGTATGTGTGTCATCTAACAGACCAGGCCTGCTCTCTCCAAGGCAACTAGCACAACAGCCATGATTGTAGGGAGAACTCACCTGGCTCCACAATAACTGAAGGTGACAGCCAGTATGAAACTGAAGAACATCTGCCTCATTCAAGGAGGAGAACTGTTCAGGAAATTAATAATGCTGTGTACTGGATTTTAGGAATTAACTCTCTGTGCGATAGAAAAAGTATGGATATAAGATGACAGCTGCAAAGCAGAGAGGTTGTAGGATAAATAGAAACAGGCTTTCCAGAGCAAATAGTCTTTATTGCTGCTGTTTGCTCTTTATAGCTTGATTTGCATCCCCTAACACTTGAGTTGTTTTGTTCACTGGCTGTATTGCTTGTGAATTTAGGAAAACACAATTTAGTTCTTTTAGGCACCAAGAATTATAGCTTAAATAAAGGATTTTCTCCTATGCTTGAAGTGAAATAATATGTGCTGAAATATTCTGTTGAGTTGAATCCAGAATGCTCAACATCTCATGGGATTCATCTACTGACAAATAACTCCTTTGCTGCATGTATCTAGAGACTAGTACTAGCTAGTTAATGTACAAGAACTTTATTACTGCCCAAGTTTTTGAAATTATCAAAATCACCATGCTACAGCCTTGCCTTCTTCCCTTCTCTCTTCTCCCATATTTCCTTTTATTGGATTGTGCTGAAAGTCAGGAAAGGTGAGCCAGGAGAACTCCCCTTTACACACTTCCAAATTCTAGCAGGCAAAACGAGCATTAGGAACAGTGCTGTGAGTATAAACTTCAGGCTGATCTGTGACCACACCAAAGAAAGCAGTGGAAGGTCTCATGGGGTTCAACTGGCCCTATGCTGTTCCATTTTACCCATGTAAATCAATGTTCTTATCAAAGCCCAGTGTTGGAGATTACCTTGTGCTCTTTATTTACAGTTCATCTCATTAAGTGATATATTTTTTTGTCAGACAATGATCAAGGAAGCATTAATTAATTAATTAATTTCTTGCAATTACCTTTTTCTCACTTTTCTACATAGGCATAGCTGTGATGCATATCTGTCATATTCCTGAGTTCTGAAGCATCTATATAAAAAATATTGATCCCATTCTTAAGTCAGAAATCCAAAACTCCTTAAATAAATTTCACGGAGGGTGTGGGGGTAGGAGGGACTTGTTTTGGTTTGTTTGATTTGTTTTTTTAAAGCAGGCTTTTTCTAAAAGGTCATGTAATTGTTTTCTACTTATTGCCTATTGATTATATTACTATATTTCAAGTAATTCTTCATCTGATTATCTCTAAGCACTGCAATTATGACCAATTATCATAATACATATGTTGTGTAATTTCATTATATCCATTGGTGACTCAAAATCCAAACTGATATACCTGAAAGTAGATTCTAAATAATTGTTTTGTCCTACTACTGCAGAAGTCTGATGTAAGGCACCCTCCCCCATCTCATGTGAAAGAATGTTCACTTATATGAAATACCTTTTCTCAGAGAACATGAAAGGTGCAGTGGGTTATCAAGTAGCTAGGGA